ACAAAAGTACAGAAATTTTAACAATTAATTACTTCTAACAGAATTTTTTCTTTTGAACATTAATATGTTATTCCTGGAGGCATTATATACAGCACAACAGTTTCAAAAATAAGTTTTAAGACCAACTGGACTTTGCCCAAATCTGGGCAGTTTTTCAGCTACCTTAACCCTCCATTCCCTCAATAAAATGGGAAGAGTTGTATACCTACCTTACGGTTTGTTTAGGAGGATTAATGAAGAAAATTCATGTAAACAGCTAAGTAAAGTGACTAAAAGATAAATCCACAATAAATGTTAGCCAATACCATCATCATCTTTGTCATTATCTTCACTGTTTTAATCACATCCTGAATTCACTGGACTTTCAAATGGAGGGCAGCTTTTCATATTTGCTTTCTTACCAGTACAGGAAGATTTCTCCGATTTTAAAATGAGGATGTTAAGGGGTCATATTGAGCAACATCATTACCTGAAGTCCAATTGCTGGAATACAGGATGACCATATGTGTCACTAAGTGCTGATTCTAGGAAAGGGAGTCTCCAAGTTGATCAAGTTTCTAGAGGAGCTGATAAAGCTAAGTTTTTAAGACAGCAAAAACAAGCAAATAATGTCTTTAAATTATTGCAGTGCCATGAAGTTATGCCTCCATAAAATATAGCAGATATGACTTTTGAGGGGGCTTGAGTTTAACCTTCAGAATGCTAAAAGTCAGTGAAGTTTCCTTGCTGGAAATGGCTACTTTGAGATGGTGGAACTGAAACATTGAGAAGAAAATGGGGGCCTCCTCAATGCATTATTGAAATCTAAAGAGCTCTTTGTATTGTATGAATGTAGGGATTATCTTTTTATCATTCCACAAAATTAAAGCTTAAAAGTTCTATCCAAAAGCCTAGCTATGGAGAAATCCTCAAGGGTCTTCCATCAATGTGGTAGCCAAGAAGTACACAGGATTTTAGTCAAAGGCCAGTGGCAGTCTATGTGACACAGAACTAGCCCCACATATAGAAACAGTATGTGAGGTTCATTCCTTTCTTCACAATTCTACAGCCTAGCTGCACAATTGCCTCTTTTGTTTATATAATCTCATGGAATGAGTTGGCATACAAGGCAAATAAGAAACCATGTGAAATCTCTGTCCAAACCTTGCTTCGTGCCTGAAGTTCAAATGTGTTTGGTTAACCTTCTATTTATTCCTTCTCTTTCCTTCAGGTGACCTTTTTGGTCGTAGTTTTTGCCTTGGCATGCCATGGCACACAGTGGCTCAATGGGACTCTGGCACTATGTGACAAAGAAACTCTTATGAGCTGTCTATGAATTATTTCATTCATCAGGTGCACACATTGGCACTCCCTTTGAATGCCACCGCCCCTGCCACTGGAAATGGGAAAATGTCAGCCCAACACATAGGTACTTCCCACCCTCCAAATACTGAAGCCAAACAATGGATGGTGAACTCCAATCTTAGCTTTCTGTTCAATTGTTTTCCTGTTGGACAGTCTGAACTGCAATTCAGATTGTTGACCCTGGAAAAGGCAGCTCGTTGAATCAGTACCAGGATGCTTTTCCCAGGTAAACAGATAAGTGGAGGAGAATGACGCCATGCGGTGCACTTGGTCATTAAATTGCCTGACATGAAAGTAACACGGCTCCATCACACGCCGTGTGACCAGCTCACTAACTTACCCTTCTCTAGGAAGGAGAGTAATTAATCATCATTTTGTGATAGTATATACACATTCCTGCCAACAAGTAGGGAAGTGCTTACAGAGGGCAATACTTCTAAGCACTATGAAACATTAGTCATACATCTGATTAAAGGGTATAGTGATCAAGCTGAAAGCCTGCTAGATGGTTAAACTAAGAACAAGCACGGCCTAATTTTCTTTTAAGAATTAAGTCAGTCTTTCAAGCGCACTGTGAAGCTATGATAGGAATAAGCAAGGGACCTGCTTGGAAATGAAGTGAGAAAGCAATGATACGAATGAAGACAGGATTTGATTTTCAACACCACCAACATCCATCAAAGGAAAGTACCTGCGAATTTCCTTAAATTCGCAGACTTGCTGGAGGGCATTTTGTGGTAACTGTATTACTATAGCCACTTTTTTCCATCAATTAGTATTGTTAAAGAGAAGCTTGACTCTAGAGTTCCTAACAGCAGCAAAAAATAAATTCCCTCCAATTAAGTAGTCTAATAAGCTATTTAGGATTTTACCACTTAACATTCTTTCCTTCCCATTTAATTTTGGCTTTCACTTGGATGTCATCTTGTTGAAAATCCATCACAGAAAACTATGTAGAAAGAAAAAAAGAAGATAATGTTGCTAAGTGCCCCTGATGTTCAAAAACGAGCAGAAGCACAATATTTTTTCTAAATCACCCCAGGATTTTTCCTAATAATTCAGCTTCTTCCTACTAGAAATTAATATATGAAAATGGTCAATATGCAAATTCAAGTATCACACTAGCTATTTGCCTTCAGTAAGTGCTATATGCATAAATTTGAAACGATACAATATTTTAAGGTCCTTGATTATAATAATGCCTTGGTGTGCATATGCGCATGTATAATTACATTCATTTAATTTAATCATGAAAATATTATAGGATCATTTGGTTTTCTCCTCTAAAAGTTCTCTTACTCTTTTCATTTAATTAATTTCACTCTGCCCCTTTATAAGTCAGCTAATGGTAAGTAATGGGTTTTGAGCTAAACAGAATATGGTCACATTCCTCTGGAATTATGGACAGAAAAGAGTCATGCGGGAAGGTGGTGGCCTCTTGCCTTTAGCCTACATCCTAGTCATGGAACAATGTTAAGGCTTTTCAGTCGAACCTGGTCCTGGTCCTCAAAATACTCACATTTCATAGTCATTTCTTCTACAAGTTTCCAGTGTCCCCAGTGCTGAGAATTCGCCCAAGGGCAGTCACCTGATTACAACAGAAGAGACCTGGAAACCAGCCCATGTGACCCCACATTCCACATGCTTGACTAGAGTGGAGCTTTTGGGACTCTGCATAGTTACGGAATCACATGGAATATAATGAGGGAAACATGGGGGTGGAGGACATTTAACATTCTCCATGCACTAGGAGAACAGATAATGCCCCAGTAAGTGAAAAATAAAAATGGGCCATTTTGAATGGAAGGGAGGAAACATAACATAAAGGTTATTTCATACTATCCTTCCCCTACCAAGAAAATCTTATTTTCCTTCTCACAGAAAATCTGTGTTTCTTTTCCCCAACATGCTAACAGAGACCAGTGAAAAGAAATAGGCTGCTTTGTGTCCATCAATAGAATCTATATACCATCTTTTCCCCCAGGGATTAATTCAGCTTTTGATTAAATCTTTCTGAGATTTAAATCATGATGTTACAAACCTCCAAGGAACTCTTCTATGAGTTGTGACCTTCTTTATTACTCTCTTCCATTTGATAAAGTACAAAGATTGATTTATAATGGAGTGTAGTGTGTTAGAAAACAAGGAGTAGCAACAAAAATTGCAAAATATAAGATTAATATAAACATTGCAAATGGAATGTTTTAGTTAAAATATTCTATAATTAATACTGAGTTACAACTGTGTAGCTAGTAACACTACTGTCGAGTCAGTATAGTAATGATATTAGGGCTATAAATTATATCCAATGATTAGTTAAATAACCCTACAAAGAAGAGAAAACCAGCAATGCTAAAAAAGAATTTCAACTCAATTATCATATTGTATGTAGTTTAGACAGATTTGGTTTGGAGGACTTTTGAATTGAGACAATCTTCTTTTAAAAAAAAAGCTGTATCAAATGTTAATTTATTTTTGTCAGCCCAATTTTGATTTTAATAATTATTTTGCCATTAGTATCAACAAGAATGAAAGTGGTTCAATGTTTTGAGGACAATATGAAATAAATCCTTTATCTAAATCAGCCTATTCTAGGACCAAACTAGCAGCTACTAATACTGCTTCAGAGAATCCCTCATTTTCTCTCTGCCCTCAAAAGATTTGGTAGGGTAAAAAGTTAACCATTTAGGGAAGAGTTCTAATGTCCTTGCTGGTTCCAACCAGAAATTTAAAAATGCCTTATGCAATTTAAGCATCAATAGAAGACAAGCCCGGAACTGATACTTATTCACTGAAACTCAGGAGTGCTTGGTATCCACAGTGGCAGATAAATTCAATATTTGGGTAAGATAATGGTAGGTTTTTATTTTCCATTTCCATAAAATAATTGATGAATTTTATATTGGTATAAAACAATCCATGGGGAGTGTTTCTTAGATTACTTAGCAGATTTCAATGCACTTCTGATAGCGCTTATCACATTTCCAATATTTTTTTTTCTCTCTAGGAGATGGAAATGCTGGAATATAATTTAGCCACCTTTCCCCAATGTTGCATATGTTGAATCTTGCAATGCAAATGGTTGGGAATGGGAACCACCATTTAAAATTGGGCAAGGGCATTCTCTGTCATTAGGACCACCATCCTCCACCAGCCACAATGGACATCCTGACAGCACGATGTGTCTTCAGCTATCAGCTCATCCCATATTTAACCAACTCGATGACTTCCACATGATGGGGAACTGCATCCTGTTACAAGTCTTCGAGAAATATTCAGTCCATCTACAACAACATCTCTTTCTATGCTGAATATTCAGTGAGTTTTTCCCTAGGGGAAAGAGCTTGTACTTAAAAATACACACTTCCCAGGGTTAAGTACAAAAAGAGAGCTAATCCATTTCATAAAATCCCATGTCATTTTTCACCTCTGAACGTTCGTTATAGAAACCACCGCATCTGCCTTTGCCGTTTAGAAAAAGACAAGATACAGAAGGTGCACGTTACCTTACAGCTGAAATGCATCCATGAATATGGAAAAGCAGGGAGAAAGGGAGAGAGAGCCAGAAAGGAAATAGAATAATAATAAGCGAGTAATGGGTACTGATCTGAGAAACATGCCAGGAGTTTGGTTACGATAAATAAGAAAAGCAGGAGTAGATTTGAAACATTCGTTTCCCTTTATTAGCTCAGTGAGGCTGATGTGTACTGCACATTTAAAAAAAATCACAGGAATTTTCATACAATGAATAAAACCACAACAATACATGTAGAATTGGCAGGTGGAAAAAAGGCCCGGCAAGGGCTCAACTAATCGCTCACTTTCCCTCTTCAGCATAGTTCAACCAACAGTATTACACTTTCACCTACAAATCTTAAAGTAGCTCCATCAAATCAGCAGTTCACATTATTGAAAATGTCTGTCACATAGGTACAAATTTAGAATCATCACATTATAGTACATGGCTATTCTAGGTCATCTATAGATCAGGTCTTAGACTACAGTGATTGAAGTTCTCATTACAGCCATCAAGAAAGGACACATAATCATTACCTACTGGAAGCTCACATCTAAAGGCATGAAAAGGTTTCCTTTTTTCAACTGACCCAAACATCATACCCCAATAGTGCAAAGTTCCCTCTCTGCTGCTCTGAATGTTGACAGCCCAACTGTTGTTCTCGGAGTCGTTTAGCAAAAAATTGATTTTGTTGCACTGGAAGAATTATTCTGCTACATCTCTTTTAAAAAAGAAAAAAACCCACATTACTAAAGCACCAGTTCGGTTACCAAAATTGTAGATGTGGTACTTACCACGGCATGAAGGCAATGGCCCACGGTCATCTAAAAATCCTACAGATCTATGCTGAAATTTGCCTTCAGTGATGATGGGGTGCACATGTTCATTTGAAATATTCTCTCCCAAAAAAATAAAAATAGAAATGAGAGGAGCACAGCTTACATTTTGATGGGCTACCCACAGTGTCTGCAGAAGATACAAAAGCTCCACTAATTTTAGATGCAATTTGAAGTCCATTGAGGAAAACTATCTTCATGGTAACAATATTGGTCAGGCCGGGTTGCGGGGGGGATAAATTAATCCTCAATACATGTGTAGTGCTGTCTTTTGATAAGAAAAGAAACCAAGTATTCCACTCATGTCAACAATCCAGGGCAAAAAGGAGAATGTATTTAAAATTGGATCACAAAAATTTAAAGGCAAAATAGAGAACACATGTGGTCCTTGAACACATAATAGGATTTACTAAATATCGATTTCTTAAAAATAATTTATTGCTCTTAATAGTCTTTTTATTATTATTCTACAACAGAAGATACTCAAAATTCAGAAAGAAAGACTGTAAACTTTAGTTTGGCGTTCACACAGAGTTAAAATACCTGCATTTAACCTACAGAACAACAAGAATTAGGCGGATTAAAGATGTGTTACCATTGTAACGCAGAACCTGTGAACAAGTTCTTTTATTTCATAGTATTTTTATTGCTTTCTATCTACTTAGAAATAAGAAGCCAAAAAATCAAGCAAGCATCCGACAGGACAAACAGTGGATTCACTCAGAACACAATATGCTGGTGATAAATGAATGCAGCTATCAAAATTAGCTGCATTGGCCTGGGGGTGAAATCCATCTTATAAGATTGTGTTGGGTGAGAGAAAGGAAAAGAACAATTAAGTAGTAGGTGTATCATGTCTTCCAGAAAAGTCATGTCAGCCAAACAGTAATCGAATCTCAATTTAGAAACTTGAATACACACTCCAAACGTTACTGAATTCCATTCCAGGGACTCCACACTCAGATGAAATCCTGATGCTCAAAATGGAGGTTTTTCTGAAGTTTTTATTGAATTTAGCAGAAGCAATGTCATCAAGAACAACATCATGGTCACGTCAGAGGCCATGCTAGTGCAAGTAGAAACACTGCTTCTGCAAAAGCTGAATTTCCCAAATGAAGCACTTACACTCCAACCTGACAATTGTCATGCATCCTAGGTAGAAAATTTCCACTGGCTTTATTATTTTCATCATCTCATAATTTATAATAAATAGGCTATCTGCAACTGATAAATATGTCTCTTTAGTAAACAAAGGAATGAAATATCAGTATTTATACAGGATGCATAACTGTAAAAAATACAGATAAATACCATCGTCATACTCTGCCAAGGGAAAGAAATACTGGCTTCAAAGATAGTCTTCAGACACACATTAATTATTGTAAAAATCATACTATAATTATTACCTCGGCATTTTGTATCAAATTAAAATCACAAAAATTAAAACAAAACAGCATTTTAAAAAGATTTTTGACTTCTAGTTTCAAAACTACTGTTGATAGAGAAAATAAAAACATTTCTTAATGGTTACCCATTGAGAGACTTTACATAAAATCATGATATCTTCTAGAAAAATTTTAGATGAGAAAATTTCATTCCCCTAACAAATCCAGTGTATAAAACTTCAAAGAAAAACAAGCGACAAGAAAATGTGGAAAAATATCGCGGAAGTGGTTAATACCTTTAGGGGACTAGGATATTTCTTGACAAGATGCTTAGATTGAAGCTCACCTAAGGGATGGATGTGCGGAAAGCATCATTTTGCTCTTGTTGCACTCAACAGACACACACACTGTCTTTTTGTTTTTACAATCAAATATATATAAGCAGTAAGTTCAGCTTCTAAATATGTTAGTGTACAATAATTGTTTCACCTCATAATTACATTTGAATATTCTTGATTAAGAAAAATTTAGCAGTTTTGAAAAGAAGGCTGCATTTACAGTGCATAGCTGTAACAAAAAAGAACATTGTTGTATAGTATATACATAAAATAAAAATACTCCATTTAACATCTGTAAATACTTAACTACATCAGAGAATGTAGCAATTACACTATCTGAACACATCTCAGAGAGTTCTACCCAACTCTCATTAGTATTGTAACCCGGTGTCCGCTCCTCAGAAAGAACCGCTGAACAAGCTGCACGCTTGACCATTGACAAGGCTTTTGAAATTTGCAGTGGAAGATCAACATTTTGGACATTTACATGGGTGTCAGGATTAAGGATGAACTACAGAAACTTCAAAATGTTAGGAAACTTTAGCATTCTGGTGCCCGCAGTATCCTCTCCCACCCAGATTCCATGGCAAAAGGAAAAAGAAAAAAAAAAAAAAAAGAGAGAGAGAGAGACAGGATATTAGTTCTATGGAACCTGTGGTTTCTTCAGGATTGTCATATAATCATTACGTTACGAGAGAAAGCTTGCTTCAAGTTGATTCTGCACTTTCTTAAAAAAACAGAGTACAAAGGCTGATGCCCAGACATCAGCAGCTGTCATTTTAGGGTGGTTTGTGGTTGGTTGGTTGGTTGGTTGTTAGTTTTCTTTCCTTTTTAATTTATATATATATATATATTTTTTTTTTTATTTTCCTTTTGAATAGAATACGAACATTTTGAAGTTCTAGGTTTTAAGTGTGTCTTCATGGAACTGCTGCCATTTGAAATGGTTTGCCCTTGCACATTCTGGTCAGGTGCCCCCAGTCCTCACATGTACCCACACATACTTCCCCTAAACCAAGCACACACACCATACACATACACACACACACATACATGCACACACGCACACTGCATCACCAAGAGACTCCAGGAAAAGCAAAGCTGACACCCATGAATAAACATGTGCTTACTGGATATCATTCTGTCCCTTGCCTCTTCAGCAGCTGTGTTCATGTAAACCATTGTTGTTATTGTTGTTGTTGTTGTTCTTGTTGTATTGTTGTTGTTTTGTTTTGTTTTTTGTACAGAGAGTGTAAAGTAGGAGAAATTCCTAAGTATGACTTGCAATAGTCTTTAGGGAAGGACGCGCTGTCCCATGAGGTATTCGCCATCCCTCTGTCATCCTCAGCTAGGGAACATGTTACCTGCGCAAGCTTCTCTGAGCTTCTTTCAGTAAACTATCAAAATCCAGAGAGTCATACTTGCTCTTGGTGGAAGCAGGGTCAAAGTCATCTGAGTTTGAATCTGAAAGAAACACAAGGCAGTTTAGACACACCCTTTGCTGATGGCCATTAACTCAATCATTCCAATTCAAGACTACCGGATTTGATAACAACTCTTACAATCAATATACTTTAGAAAACAATGTCCGGATTTTATTGGATATATATTGATAAAAAGAAAGAGGATGGGGAGTAGTGAGCTTTCAAAAATACTCACCTGTTGACTCATTTAGGCTTAAACACCCTGGGAGTTAGGCAGAGCAAACATTAATATATCTCTGGCAGATAGCCGCCCTCCCTTTCCCCCGGCATGTCAAATGACTTGCCCATGGTTCCTCAATAACTTAGATGTAGACGTGAGAGTACAAGCTGGAACTAATTTTCCTATTCAATGGGATTAATTTAATTGAGCATACAATCCAGTTGAGTATGAGAGAGAGAATCATGAGAATTTCCCCTAAACTTCAACCTGATGCTTCTCTTTGAGGCAGGAGGGGACATAGGATGTGGTCCTCTACTTCTGTACCTCTAGACATCCCAGAAATTTTGGTGCAAATTCTCCCCAAATTGGAAGGTTGAGAGAAATGCTTCACATCCCAGGAGAGTAAATTCAGAAAGAAGAAATAAAGTGCAGGTATAAATAAAGCCACACCCTTCTTGGACTCTTAAAGTAGTCCAAGTAAGCTTTTGGGCAAAGTTTCACATGCTACTTCAAATAGACCTTAATAAAATAGATATATTTTAGCAATATAGAAAGTATAGTAAAATTCTGTTAAATATTCCTGGTTTTTCTCCATTGATTTCTATGAAAAAAACAGATATTTCTGCTGGTCTTGCAAGTAACAAATGGTGGCTTGGAAATATAATAAAAAGCCTCTTGTAAATACATTAATTCTTTTGAAAACATTTATTTAACGGAAAACAAAACCATTCTGGAAAACTAACAATTCTACCAAAATATAAGAATTCCCATGCTGGCCGGGCGCGGTGGCTCAAGCCTGTAATCCCAGCACTTTGGGAGGCCGAGATGGGCGGATCACGAGGTCAGGAGATCGAGACCATGCTGGCTAACATGGTGAAACCCCGTCTCTACTAAAAAATACAAAAAATTAGCCGGGCGAGGTGGCGGGCGCCTGTAGTCCCAGCTACTCGGGAGGCTGAGGCAGGAGAATGGCGTGAACCCAGGAGGCGGAGCTTGTAGTGAGCTGAGATCCGGCCACTGCACTCCAGCCTGGGCGACAGAGCGAAACTCCGTCTCAAAAAAAAAAAAAAAAAAGAATTCCCGTGCTTTTCCCAGAATAAGTTACAAAATCGAAATGGTCAAAGTAATAGAAGGGTATAATACGAGATACTACAGAGGCATAATCGTTGACTTACAAAGTTGTTTTGCTGACAAGATTGCAAACCAAGCTCTCTAGAACCAGCCTGACCATCCCGTTTCCCAAGTTTCAATCTACCTTTACATACCTAGATTTAAAGACAAGGAAATGTCTTTACTTATGTTTTCCTTTCATTCTGATCACCTTTGGTCTTTACTGAGTTTTTTTCAGCAAGTTTTTTAAGGTAAGAGCAACAAGAACAATTACAGTCTCAATCATAAAAAACAGACACAAAACTGGCCAATCTTTCCTCAATAACATCTTAAATAGTCAATTCTTAAATTACACTGGCTTCAACGTTTCTCTTCATAGGCTAATGAATGGTTTTCTTGTATTGCTAAGGCCTCACAAACAACTGCTGTTACAATCAAAATCTTTTTTGTAGAGACAAAAAAAAAAAAAAGTCTAGCTCATTGCTAGAGATTAGTCTGAAATCAGAATTCCACTTGCATTGTAAATCAAGAGGGAAGAGTCCCCCAGTGATGGAGTCTGTGTGATAAAAGTCAGCCTGGAACCATCAGGGACATATACACATACCTTTCCTTGAGGAATACTTTGAGAATATTTTAAATTGCCTTGCTTTGCAATATTCTAAGTAAACTCTAGAATTTCAGTGTTTCTGTATTTTGATAAGCAAATATTTTTTAAAAAATTGAAATAGTAGTTCTCAAGAGTTTCTTCACTGTGAAATATAGTGTTCACATATATACCCACTTATACAGGCTCACTGTTACTCAGAAAACAACCAAAAAATATTTTTGGTTGCATGAGATGGAATGTGGATACATTTAATTTCTGAGGCAATAACATCTACTCCACCAATTTCTCTCCTGCTAATGAAAGGATATTGGAGCACAGTAAGATATAATAAAAACGTTATAGGAATAACTCAAAAAGTCACTCTAATTTTTCAAAATAAATTGTTACAAATAATGATACTGTATTATTTGAAACAAATCACATCATACTTATATTCCCGGCACCTGGAAAACTGTTGGCACCAAGGAGGTACTCAAATTAATATTTGTTGAAGGAATATACTAATATCAAACACCAAAATATTATTAAAACCATGGTTGAAAATATTTATATTGGGATGTGGGAATGATTTATGAATGAATGGCAAAGGAATACATAAAGTTACGTATATAATCAAGAATACTGATAATACGAAACATTTATTTCAGTTAATAAACAATTTATAATGTATGTGTCATTTATATTATATTAAAATTATATTTAAATTTTATTTAATTTAAATTTATACTACATTATATTAAAATTATATTTAATTAAAATATTAAAATGTTTAAGTTATATAACATAACTCATTCCTAATCAAACTTGTTACATTCATAATACTGACCCATCTTTCTCTTTGGATCCTGTAGTCCTACTTTAATTTCTCTATGTCTTTCACCTCTGATTTTGTTTTCATTGCAGTCTTTAGAAAGATCCATTTGCTTATAAGACAGTAAACTGAAAGACAGACTACAGATTCATGGCAACTATAACTTAAATCTTGGCTTCACTGTTTTAATCTTGATCAAGTCATTTTAACCTCTCACTCTCATTTATAAAACTGGGTCATAAATAGTAGCTGAAATCGTTATGTTTTGCTCTGACAATATTGTCGTTACCATTACCTAGTTTCGGTAGTAGAGAAACAGGATGTATAAGCTAACTTAATTTTGGGAAGCAAGTAAACAGAAAGAAAATTGATGAAATCTATCTAGAATGATAGGTAACTTTCCTGTCTTGGTAAAATTAATCTGTGTCACATCATTTTTGCTTTACAATTGTGACATATGTGTAAGCTCCTAATCCCTGAGTCCAGCATATTCTTATGCCCTGAAGCATGCATGAACACTAAATATGGTGAGCACAAGAATATTTGAATTCTTCAGGGAACAAAGACAAGACATATGAACAATTTTTTGAGTTCCAAAGCTGATTCCTAGAGTTGATTCTTCCATTTTAAAATGACTTTACACTTCTAACTTCTCATTCCCATCATTTTAAATTGTAATCATAGCCACTATTTATTGAGCACCTATGTTATGCCAGACACTGTGCTAATGTGTCACAAACATTTATTTAATCTTCACAATAACACTATACGTTATTTTACAAATGAAGAAGCAGAACCGAAGGGGTCGAATTGTTTGCCCAACGGCAGTGTTAAGTCAGATTTCAATCCCAGGTCTGCAGGATTCCAAAGCCTGGCCTCTTCGGACTATACAATGTTGGAGCTCGGAAAAAAACTACCTTTGTGCCATCGTAGAGTTCAAGGGAATTGGAAAAATCCATGCTACTACAATGCACATGAAACATACTTTTCAGAAAATACAGAGCGAGCTTAGCAATGGCAAAGTTTCTATTGCTGCCGGCTAGGCAGGGAGATAACGAGAGAGGAAGCATTCTTCTTAGAAATATTTCAGGGAGGCTCCAGTTCAATTTGGAAATACCATCCAATCCTCCCTCTACCAGTGATGAATCGTGATCTGAAGGCCCCTCTAGGTAGCTTATTTTAAACTCTAGATGTTTTGAGAGACTAGAAACACCCTGGCCTTCATCACTGAAGAAAATAAGTCAAATCAACTCAAGACTTCAATCCGTCTTGACTGCTTTTATCAGCCAACATTTGAACAAATGACTTGCCACATTCTATATTTTCATCCCTAGCCCACTATCTCTCTAACAGTCAGCTGCCTCTCCCCTGCTTCCCACTATCTTTTTAGCTTGTGGAGTGAATTATAGCATATTCCCTCTGAACAATGCACATCACCTGTATCCATTACTCTAGGAAGACATCCCTTCGTTGGACAGAAGAAAAAAAATCTCTGTATTTGGTATTTGTTTCCTTCTTTATACCAACCCAGAGAAAATGCATAGTAGATATCTAATAATGCTGAGGACTAGATTTATATGTTAATTCCACGATAAATATTAGACATAAATTTAAAATAACTATGTCATATCCACAAGACATTTGCCACTTTCCTTCCTCAAAGAATTTAAAAGCTTACAATGTGCACATTAGATGGGGAATGACATGCAAAGGAACACAATTAAAATTGAAAAGGAAATTAAGATGTCCATTTTAGCATTATTTATAATATTGAAAAATTAAAAATTAAATGTGGGCTGGGCACGGTTGCTCATGCCTGTAATCCCAGCACTTTGGGAGGCCAAGGCAGGCGGATCACGAGGTCAGGAGATCGAGACCATCCTGGCTAACATGGTGAAACCCCGTCTCTACTAAAAATACAAAAAGAGCTGGGTGTGGTGGTGGGCGCCTGTAGTCCCAGCTACTTGGGAGGCTGAGGCAGGAGAATGATGTGAACCTGGGAGGCGGAGCTTGCAGTGAGCCTAGATCGTGCCACCGCACTCCAGCCTGGGTGACAGAGCGAGACTCCGTCTCAAAAAAAAAAAAAATTAAATATTTGGCTATAATGTAATGACTAAATATAATGGTACTATTCACTCAGCAAAATACTGTGCAACCATTAAAGTATGTTAATAAATTATTTTTAATCTCATGAGTCACAGCAGAACATGAATTTATATATTAATTGAGAAAAGTAGAATTTGGAAGTTTATATACATAAATATAAATATATATATATAAATTCAAATATACGAAATTAGACATGCTGAGACAAAATACTGGAAGGCAAATCACTTCATTGGTAATAGTGGTTATTCCCAGATGACAGGCTGATATGTGATTTTAAGTTTTTTCTTAATACTTTTTATACTTTCCACATTTTACTCCTTGAGTCTGTACAGCTTTTATAACAGGAAAAATTAATATTATGTATGCTTCAGTTTCCTTATCTGTAAAATGGGGATGATAATAATAACATACACCTCCTACAATAGTTCTAGTACTTAAATGGAAAATGCTTTCAAAACTCCTGGCACTGTGTCTGGCATATGGAAGCACTCAACAAATAACAGGTGTTTCTTTTTTTTTTTTTAAGAAAGCATAGTGTGATTTAGTATATCAAATTTAATTTTCTTCTCTCTAGTTGTAGTTCATAGAAAATAATGATATTTCTAAGTGTCTGTGAAATAATAAGTAAAATATGAGACTTTTGCATATTCTATTCCATAAAACAATGATGGCAATGCTATGGTTTGTGAAAGGATTCAGGGTAGGCCTGGAAAGCAAAAGCAGGTTACACACACACAGCACGCACGCATGCACACAAATCATAAACACATGTAGACACATACAATACCTACCTACACACACATAAACACATGGCCACACACACCTGCACAACACATGCACACACAAAGCACAATACCACACACATACACGTTTAATATTCAGACAACACACACACAGACACACACAATATCCACACAGATACACACAATACACGCCCTCACAAAATATAAAGCTGCATGCACACACAACGCGCGTACACAAATCATGAACACATGTAGAAACACACAATATCCACATATATACCTACCACAATTTTCAGCACTTGAGTAGACAGTACAAAGAATTTACTTCTGTCCTTTCTTGCCAAAACCTAAGCCCCTTTCTTCTGAAACTGTCTTATACATTCTTCTTAAAAATCTGTATTCACACATTCCCTTTAGTAAAATAAAGTGATGGTTCAACCCAAGATGCCGACAGATTATGTTTGCTCCCATCTTGAGCTCTACATTATGGATTCCTCATTCCATGTACAATAAAATCCATACCTAGGTCTGCATAGTTAGACTTGAAAAATTGCTTGCGTCCACAAAAGTACAGCTCGAAGTCAGTTTCGTTCGACCTGCGCAAAGTGTATCCATTTTCAAGAGCAGCAAAAGCATCACAGGTATAACGGTAGGTAATGAAACCATAGCTGTCTCTGAAATGGACAAAGAAGAGAAGTTCAAAGCTGGTTAAGAAGTATTAGCATACGGGACTGTAACCCTTTCTATTTTGTGAGACTTCTCCAGTGCCAACGTCTGAGCCACTGCATCCATTTATCAGTGTGATTGTCCTGTCAAGCAGCTAAATACTTATTTCTGGGACAGAAAATCTCAACTAGAAAGATTAATAAATAGGGATGAAAGAAAATAAATAAGGTTCTGAACTCAACATGTCATCTGTCAAAGCACTTACATTGGCAACTCCCATTCCAGTAATCTTATGGCCATAATTTTTTACATACGTCAACTTCTAAACAAGAAATAATCTTGAAGATTCTCACCCATCATCCCGCAGATTTACTGTGCACTCCTCAATTTCACCAAAAACTTCAAAACGGTCCCTCAGTTCTGTCCGTGTTGTGTCAGGTCTGATTTTACCAACATAAATCACACGGCGCTCTTCCTATGGGGGGAAGGAAGGAGAGAGTTTTGCTGGTTCTGGAGATGGGAAAAAAGCTAACCCTCAGCTGGGCACTGTGGCTCACGTCTGTAATCCCAGCACTTTGGGAGGTCGAGACGGGTGGATCTTGAGGTCAGGAGTTCAAGACCAGCCTGGCCAAGATGGTGAAACCCCGTGTCTACTAAAAATACAAAAATCAGCCAGGTATGGTGGTGGGCACCTGTAATCCCAGCTACTCAGGAGGCTGAGGCAGAGAATTGCTTGAACCCAGGAGGCAGAGGTTGCAGTGAGCCGAGATTGTGCCACTGCATGGGCGACAGAGTGAGACACCATCTCAAAAAAAAAAAAAAAAAAGTTAACCCTCTAAAAACATTCATAAATGTATAATCATGCATAAGAAACCCCATTGAGCTTTGCAATTAGAGCAAAACATACACTACAATGGAAGGAAAGACTACATTTGAACCAAGTGTTAATTCCCATTTCTTCAGTATCAATCTCTTTTCACTCACATACATTCTTCTCTTCACCTCTACTCTTTTCTACCTTTCCTATATGTCTCTGTTCTACTCTCAGATGAATTTGATGTGTTAGAAAAGAAGTCTGTATAATGCACTCTTTTTTAAAATCATGGAACAATACCTATTAAATATTTGAACATTTGTGACTTGATTATTAATCAAAATTATTATGAAACTGACCTGGCTTACAAAACTATTACATTTCTCATTAACTCAGAATTCTAATAATGAGATGAACAAATTCTGACGTCCTCAAAAGAGTGGTTCTTAAACTCTACTATAAATAAAAATTACTTGGGGTGCTGGTTAAAAATGCAAATTATTGGGCTTTATCCCAGTTGTACTAAAAAAAAAATGTAAGATAAGGTTCTACAACCTTTATTTTTAACAAGCACACCCCAGCGATTTTGATGCAGGTGGTCCAAAGACAATAATTTAAGAAATAAAGTCTTAAAATGTAGGCCATTTTAAGCCATGAGTCTCCGAAGAATAAGAGCTAAATAAAAGAGGCTATAAATTTCACTTTGCCAATAAATCTAGTCTTATTTTAGGAATAGACTAGAGGGGTGTGGCCTAATTTTCACAAGTGGAGTCAATATCATCATAATCTGAAAGTCATCAGTAATTTATAACCTACAAAATACAGGAATAATATTTTATAGCCTGAGGATAAATTCTTTTTTTAAAGCACAGCAATGCATTCTTAGTGTAGGAAGCAATCCTACATCTCTTGTTCCAAGAAGATAAGGCCAAAAGTTATGATGTCTCTCAAAGTTTTAAGAACATAAGGAGTTAATATAAAGATTGTGCTCACCATCTAGTTTGTTTGTATACTAAGGACAAACAAGGATAAAATGAATTTAAGGTTGCAGAGATTTAAGTTGGGTTGAAGCAAAGACTAGAAGCAGAGAACTGAGGTACAGACTTAGCTTGCCCAAGAGTTTTCTTTGGATGTACTGAGAGTCCCTGGTCTTGGGTGATGAAAAGAATAATTCGGGCTAAAAGCAAAAAGATACCCTGTCTTATTTACTGAATGGTTTTCATTTTCGTATGCCCAGTGTTTGACCAAGAATCTGGTAAGAAGTAGGCACCCAACAAGCATTTGTGAAATGTAACTGAACAATTCGCAGACCCTATATCTTCCTGGATGATAAGCTTACCAATGTCTGGTTTTATTCTACCATATATAACATTCTTGCCTCTATTTTTATTAGGAAAGTATCCTAATGTCCACCTGAGCCTCAGGTGCAAATAATCAATTATCTACTTGACACTTCAGGTTGGTTGTGCCTGAGGAACCTCACACTACACGAACCTTACCGAAGCCTAACCCTCCAGCCTTGCCCTCTCCCCATTTGGTTCTTTCCCAATGTTCTTGTATTAGTGAAATGAACACAATCCAGCCAGTTATTTAGGAAGGAATTTAAGTACCTCCCTTTACTCCTTTCTCTTGGTCCTCTCCACATGTCTAACTACTCATCAAGTCCTATTGATTTATTTCTCCTAAATCTCTCTCTAACCTATTTTCTTTATTCCATGTGTCCTAAGCCAAGCCTCCAGCTTCTCTTTCTGGACGAGTATAACAAAAAATCTCTTAATTTGGATCTGTGTCCACGTTTATTCTTCTCCAATCTATTCTTCCATTGTTGTTGGGATAGTCTTTGCTAAGAAAACAGGAATCCAATGATGTCTATTAACTTATAAAACATTCCAAAGGCTTCTCACAACGTTTAATGAAAGATCTAAATCGTTAACAAGACCTACAAGGCCCTGTGTGGTCTGGACCTGTTGTCATCACGGGCTTTATCTCTCATATCGCATTCTTTCTGTGACTCTCTTTCCCAGCCACACTGAGCTTCAATTAGTCTGGTATATACTGTGCACCTTCCTTCCCAAGGCCTTTGCACACACTCTCCCTGCTCCTGGAACACCCTATTCACACTGCAGCACTCCCAAGCCTCTCACATACACACACTGTCTACAACAACCTTAAGCTCAACAATCACATTTTTTCTGAGACTTGCAATGAGGTCAGAATTCCTATTAGTTGCTCTTATGGAAAACTCTCCTTTCCAATTGTAATTCATAGTTTATCTACTGTTTAATGTCTACCTCCCCAGGATAATAAAAGCTTCATGACAGTAGAGACCATATCTGTTCTCTTCACTACTGTATTTTAAATAAAGCATTGAAACATAACAGACTATCAATGAATATCTGTTGTAAAATCAATCAGTTATGAATCAATCAATCATCTTGAACACTCATCCCATTCCCTTCATTACATCAAAGATGCCTAAGTGTGGTCTTTATTCCGTAAGACTATCCGACACAAAGGAGAAGGAAAGTTAGATTTGATGCTTTATCACAGAAAACAAAAACAAAAACAAAAAACGTTGCTCAGGGAGCTCAGTTGAGTGAAGAAACAAAGATTTCCATAATTTTTTTTTTACAGATTTAAGTGTAAGAAGTAGCTACATGTTTGCAGCGACATGTTTGAAGGAATCTCACTCATAAAAATCACCTCTGAAAATCAAAGGTAGGTAGGAGATAACAAACAGTTGGTAAAACATAACTGTACTAACAATAGCTATTGAGACTAAATAAATGACCAGATGAAGCAGATAACCAATGCAGAGTAACTGCCTGATGCCCTTCCATGTAGATTGTATGTCTCAATCAAAGGCTGTGATTGTGCCGCTTCAGAGCACCAGGCACATCCTGGCAGTCAGGAAGTAGAAATGGATGGAAAGGCACATCCCAGACCATCGATGCACACTTGAGCAAGGGAATCATAACACCACATTCCATTCTATTTACGCAGCCAGCTCTAGTCAAACAGCCAAATGTGATGGGACTGTTATCTAAACTTTAACTTCCTGGCGCCTGCTTTCATGGGTGTTAAGGAATTTTTTTTTTTTTTTAATGAGCCTTTTAGAAAAGTTACTACTGTATAGAGAGAAAGGGGGGAAATGCAGACGTGAGAGAAAGAAATTGAGCCATTGCAAAGAAATTGCTCAACTACTATTATGGGAATAAACACAGCCTATGTATTCAAGGAAACTTGAAGTTAAAGTGAAAATCGACCATATGTATGCCCATATGCAGACATACTGGGACAGTCTCTGAATTGCAGCTTTATACAAAGTTGTATGCAACAACGATCCCATACAAAATATAAACCAGAGGACCTTTTATAATGGATACTGATACATTCTACAGTAAAAAGAAAATATAACCTAGAGGGAAGAAACAGGAAACCGAAGGGGTGTTCCACAATTACTTGAATTGCCTATTTTTCTACCTCTCTTTTTATGAAGCACAGGAATGGGGCCATGACTCGCTACTTTACAAAGATCAGAGATTGGATACATGCTGAAATGCTTATTTGAGAAAATTATTGAAGTGCTTGATTTTCCTACTGCTAAAAATGAAAATAAAAGGCATCCAAACGCCTAGAAAGCAAAGACAAAAATCTGTCTAAGATTGGCCAAAATGTCTAGCAAAGAACTGATTCTTTTAAACATGTTGCAGTTGTATTAGACAGATGAATAGATTTGATATCTTTAAAAAACCTTAACATTTGCAGCCAATTTTTCAAGACATTAATTTCTAAACAGGAGATGAAAGGAAAAGAAATCAAAATGCTTAATAACATTTTCAACTTCTTAAAGGCTTGGAGGAACTCTAAACCTTTGGAAACAGCTCCTTGAAAAATGATTTTCAGACCAGTTTTCCCTATTGAGGAGGATGGAACATCTATCAAATAACTTTTAGCTTCAGTTTTCACAAAAGCTAGTATGCTGATGGGGTGGATAATAAAATTGAAGACTTACGTTGCATTAACAGCTATAGTAAATCCTCATTATACCAAAACACGGCAGATAAATAAAGAAACAAAAAAATGACTGAATTAACTGACTTCACATTACTAAAATCTTTATCAAAAAGAGTCTAGAGCTTCCCGGTTACTGGAGGAAAACATACAGTGGTTGTTTCTCATCAAATAAACTACTCCTGATAAAAGGGCTTTGACTAAGAAAAGAGAAAAGGTAGCAGAGAAATGAACATTTGTTGAATTCTTATCTATACCAAGTACTGCATTTGATGCTTTTTAATGGGTGATCTCTCTAAAATGTTCTATTATGCTAGGTAACAAGGAAGAGCTTGATATAATGTAGATTTTAGCTCTCTCTACGTTTGCAAGTCAGAATAATGTAAAAATCTTTTTTTCTATGCTAAGGAAACTACATAACAACTTTGGCAGTGAAATACTGGTGTTCATTCCTAGATTAGCTGTAACCTGACTGCCTCAAAAACTGCAAAGACATTATAAATACCATTGAGTATATGGTGTATTCCAACTAAAAGAAAAGGTGAGTGGAGTGGAGGGTCATGGAAAGGTGCAGATAGAAAGAAATACCAAGATTGTAAAAAAGGCTAAAAATGTCTTGCCGTTAATATTGATTATCTAACCTAATT